TCAAACCGAAGATATTAGCAAAATTATAATAAATACCAAAAAATAAGCCCTTAATTACCTTATTTTTACAACACGGTACAGTAGCCCTCTTGATTATATCCATTTTAACAAAAAAATAAGATAGAAACATTTAGTTTATTTTAAAATTGACGATATACCAGGATACCATAATACCAGATGCATTAAAATCTAATAATTAAGATATTAATAAGAGTGAACAAGAAACGATGCCTCAGTGAAGTAATGGTAGGCTTTAGAAAAGAGTTGCTTTTGACGTAATAGTATAAACGTCAAATTGTTATTTGATCAACGTTTTGATAGTCTAGCAGCGTTTTTTATCTTTTAATTGCTTTTTCAAAATGCCTTTATTATTTGAAGTAGTTGACGTCAAATTGTTGGCATTTTGAAAATGGCTTTATTATTTGAAGTAGTTGAAATTGTTGGCATTTTGAAAAAGCAATCAAAATATAAAAAACGCTGCTAAAACTATCAAAATGTTGATCTAATAACAATTTGACGTTTATACTACTACGCCAAAAGCAACTTTTTCCAAAGCCTGCCATGACTTTACTGAATCATCGTTTCTTGTTCACTGTTATTAATATCTTAATTATAAGATATTAATACATCTATACCTAGTATTATGGTATTCTGGTATTTCATCGATTTTAAAATAAACTAACTGTTTCTATCTTATTTTTTTTTTGTTAGATTGGGCATAATCAAGAGGGCTACTCATACCGTGTTGTAAAAATAAGGTAATTAAGAGTTTATTTTTGGGTATTTATTATAATTTTGCTAATATCTTCGGTTTGAAAGAAGATATCAAGATGCGGTTTTCGCTGACTTTTTAAGCTTTTAAAACTCTTTACTATCAGCTAAAATTACATATACTATCGTATTTAATTTTTTTGAAAAAAACGCGCTGTTTCGTAAATTGTAAGAAAGCGCCCCCTAGCGTCTACGTTCAAAATCTTATTATTATTTTTATGGTATAATATAGTAAAAGAAACGCTCTTTTAAACGAGCACTAGATTGGTAGATTTTGATCATCCAGTCCGGAGTTATTCACATTTAAATTAGAACAGATCTAACCTTCCTCCACCACTTTATTTTAGCAGATAGGGGAAAATGGTTCTAGCAAATAAAATCCATAATTTACTGAAGATTATGAGGCTATTATTTATAGTACCCATTATCTAGGCAAAATGCTGTAAAATTTCTATTTTCTTATTTTCTATAGCAGTTGCGCCCTCTAGCGGCCATTTTACAAACTAGAAAATAATTTACAGCAATTTCTCATAGCCCCTTTAGTTATAAATAACTTTTTCCGTAGGCATTACGGCTAATACTTTCCGAGATACAGCCGAGAGCTATTCTTAGTGGGACACCCTATACAATTTATATCATTGCCAAAGTTTTATTTTAAAAATTTGTATCTTTTGAAAAAGGTAATAGATTTAATGAAGAGGTGAAAGAATAAATAAATATCAGCAAAATATTAACAGAGCTGGTACATATGTAAGAACTTGACAACGGCTGTTTCCGATACGCTTCAGTTCTTCCGCCAAAAAATGTATGGAAGGCAAGGATATGGAACGGAAGGCGATAGTAAATGTCAATAGTCGTCATTTCCAAGCCATCTAAACTACATTTTATGATCATACGAAATATTCAGTACCTATAAAAGAATTTTTATTTTTGTTGTTTATTCTATGTTTAACGCGAATACATTTTCAATACATAAATGCGGATTTTTCATTCAAAGATATGTTCGTCAAACGTATTACAAAAATTACATACTTTAATATGGCAACACTGTCGTTTTCAGTTCCACACCATCTTCGATATGCCTCCGCTAGCCGAATCAGAGAAAATGAGTGTTTTATGCGTTGGCCGCAGAACGAGTAGAAGCTCCACCGTACAGCACTTGAGACGTAAGGGGAACTCAAATCAGCCTTGTCACAAATTTGCCCATTAGGTTGCGTATCTTCCCAATTCTTTCAATCAACGATGTAAGTTTATTAAAAATTGTATTTTTTTGTGTCGTAATAATACTTTTTACGGTCTTTTTACCTGAAGTTTTTTACGATATTAATTTATGTAAAATTATAATGAAAGAAGCGATAGCCTCTGAAAGAAAAATAAAAGAGGCTTAATATGACTTTTTTATAATTTATGTAAAGTTATATTATTATTATTTTTCTTTGTTAATAATGTTATAACTTTTTACTGTCTTTTTTATTTTAAGTCTTGTACGATATTAATTTATGTAAAGTTGTATTATTATTATTTTTGTTTGTTAATATTGTTATCTAACTTTTTTCTTGGCCTCAACAGCACCTTCGGCTTTGAAGGAAGCTTAGTGTTAAACTATTTTATAAATTATGTATATTGTATATGATTTGGAAGCTTACTTTTAAAATATTTTAAAAATTATGTATATTGTATATAATTTGGAACAATAAACCTTTATTATTTATTATAAGTATATCAGTATTTTTTTTATTTTTTCTAAGAAAAAGGGGATTACAAGCAGGCGAAGGTAAATGGTGAAAAAAAAGCTTGTTGCCATTCTCTTGAAAAATGTGGGGAACAAAACATTAGATTAGATTCCAGAAAAATGGCAAAATCATTGATTGATTTGCCTTATTATGCATAAATATTATTTGCACTCGATTTTTCACAAATAAAGTTTATTTTGCAACTTAATTACGTTTTTACCTTCTCTCCTTGTGTACCAAATTTAAAATTATTTGCGCACAAGAAATTTGACTCGTTTGCACATCGTCATAAAAAATAATTTTCGTACCACGAATTAGGGACAAGATTTTTATCTGTATACTTATAGGATACCTAATCTGTGCCAAAACTAACAGTTGCCAGCACGGTATCCATTTACAATCCTTTTCCTATTGTAAAATTTTATTGCTACGCCTTTTTTTTGTGTTCTGCAATGTCCATGTATGTTTTATTTGTAATTTCAATGACTTTATACATAAATAATATACAATGAATTTTTTTGAATTGATTTGTATTGTATGATCTTTTTTATTATTTGTATATCTTTTGTGCCAACTGTGTGCCAACTTTTTTATTATTTGTATATTTTTTTATGCCACTGCGCAAGAATGAATATATTCATTATGACACTCAGGGTCGGACTGGGCCAGAGGGGCCCGGGTGGACTTTTTGCGTACTTTTTCACCTTATGTTTTGGACAATTTTTCCCTATTGATTTGTTGTTAGTATTTGAAATCAGAAAACTACCCGTAAGCAAATATAATAAAATGCAATGCAAATATATTATGTAATGAAATTGTTAATAAAAAAATGAGTTTCTGGGATAACTTCAGAATATTACCGACACTTTGTTCTTTCACTTCTATTTATGAATAAATAATTAACTATTTTACATGTAGGTCTTAAGACAGGGGGCACGCGAAGGCTGGGGCTAGGCTGGCAATCGCCACCCTGACTACATGGCCAGTATAACCCTGTTCACAATAGCTGTAATTTTGCCATGGCGTCGTGGCAACGTCCATCTCCCATTTACTTCATGTTCTCTGTCCAGACGGCAGCTCGACGTGACAGTCAGGGTACGTTAAGGCGGGCGGCCACTGCGAGTGAAACTAAACTAAGCCAAGCGAAGATAAGATTAGTAAAAATCGGCTCCCATACTTTTAAATGTATTAGCGGCGGTCACTTGAGCGAAACTAAACGAAAATATGGGAATGAAGATTCAAATCGTAAGTTAATCGGCTAAGTTAGCTGCATTTTCGTATTGTATCTCTGGTGTCATAGAACTAATCGCTGCGAAAAATTCGCTGGAACCTGTCACGAACTAAAACGAGCGAAACTAAACTACGATTTGAATCTTCGTTCATATATTTTTGTTTAGTTTCGCTCAAGTGGCCGCTGATGCATTTATAAGTATGGGAGCTGATTTTTACAAATCTTATCTTCGCTTGGCTTGGTTTAGTTTCGCTCGCAGTAGTAACTAAACTAAGCTAAGAATATAAAAATAAACTGCAACTAAACGAAAATAAGTTTCATCGGCCACTGGGAACGATTTTCGCTCAGTATATAGTCAGTTAAGTTAGCTGCGTTTTCGTATTGTATCTCAGCTGTCATAGAACTAATCGCTGCGAAAAATTCGCTGTAACCTGTCACGAACTAAAACGAGCGAAACTAAGCTGCGATTTGAATCTTCGTTCATATATTTTCGTTTAGTTTCGCTCAAGTGGCCGCTGATGCATTTAAAAGTATGGGAACTGATTTTTACAAAACTTATCTTCGCATGGTTTAGGTTAGTTTCGCTCGCAGTGGCCGCCCGCCTTTAAGGCAGGCGGCCACTGCGAACGAAACTAAACTAAGCTAAGAATATAGAAAGAAACGGTACCTAAACGAAAATAAGTTTCATCGGCTACTGGGAACGATTTTCGCTCAGTAGTCAGCTAAGTTAGCTGCGTTTTCGTATTGTGTCTCTGCTCTCATAGAATTAATCGCTGCAAAAAATTCGCTGGAACCTGTCACGAACTAAAACGAGCATTCATATATTTTCGTTTTGTTTCGCTCAAGTAGCCGCTGACGTATTAAAAAGTATGGAAGCTGATTTTTACAAATCTTATCTTCGCTTAGTTTAGTTTCGCTCGCAGTGGCCGCCCGCCTTACTCTGTGACTCTATCCCTATTGGCAATTGTTTAGAATCATTTGGTGGCATCAAGGCAACGGGTGACTTCCGTTATGCCCTTCCAGCCAACATCTTGAAACAAATTGAAAAATTTAACAAAGTAATTGAAATTTATTGATCTGTTACTTATGAAAAATCGACTAGTTTAGAAAAAATTATTCATGGTTATCCTGGAAAATGGAAAAGAGGATAATATTTAATCAGCAAAGAGAATAAAAGCTGCTTTATTATGTGACTGTATTTGTGTATGCTGATAGAATTCTAAGTTTTAACTATTAATGCTTATATAGTTTTAAAAGGTATCACTCTAAGTATACTTTTATATTATATCCTTAGTTATTCATCATAGGATCCTTGAAATACTGAAACATACGAACCAATAGCCTTGACCATCTGAAAAATATAAGAAAACATGTTTACTGAAAATTATACATCTTGAGCCAATTTATTAAGCCTTGAGTCTCTTGTATCGCCGACCTGAACATAGCAAATTCTATGTAATTTTTAAAAATGATGAATCAATTTTATTCTACAGAAAAGGATATTTAAAACTTTCTAAAGAAGCATTTAAAATAAAATAATTTGTAAATTTTCAATAGCTTCTTCGAATTTCTTTTTGAGTTATGAAAGATAAAGACATTATATGTGCCAAAAATAATTTGTAAATATGAATTATCCAACAAAAGAAAAATATTTTTAGTTTAGTGGTATTATGGAGGAAGTAGTTAGTCTTCGAAAAGTTTTTGAAATAGGCCAGAATACTTACTAAAGGCTATAAATAGAACCATTTCCAATTATGACGTTACCTCACTCACATATTTAGATACTCTGTAGTTGGACCCATTGTTGTTTATTATTGTCTATGCGTGCTCAAGTTATACCTCCTAATTTCCTAATATTATGGTCCCATCTCAGATTTGGTCTTCCTCTAGGTCTCGTAATTTGTGGGTAGCATGCTGTAATTTTTGTGGTTTATCGGTAGTACGTCCTTCTTGCCAGGTGGCCTGTCCATAACCACTTGAGGGATTTGATTCTGTGGATGACATCTATTACCTGAGTCTTTTGTCGTGTCCACTTTATTCTTTTACGGTGTTTCTTCGTTATTCCCAGCATATTTCTTTCCATTGAGCGTTGTGCGACCTGCAGTTTCCTTATGATGTCCATTTTAAGATTCCAGGTTTTGCATGCATAGTTCATGACTGCTAGTACATATTGGTTGAGCGTTTCTTTCTTTAGATAGAGTGGAATTCTAGATTTGAATATGATTGAGTTTCTTTCATAAGTACTCCATGTTAACTTAATTCTTCAGTTGTTTTCTGGTAGTAGAGACCCCGAGCTGTGTATTAGTTGTTCCAAATATATGTACTCTTCTAATATTTCCAGTTTTGTGTTATTTATTAGAATGTCTTTTCTGTCTGCTAGTTTGTTGTACATTACATTTGTTGCCAAATTTATTTTAAGACCTACTTTATTGTTGGCTGTATTTAGTTCGTCAATTGGTGTTTGTAGTTCTTCAGGACTATTGGCTAGTAGGGCTTATTAAGATATTCTCCATCTTTTTTTTAATCCTTTGTTGGTCCAGTTTAACAACGTAGGGCAAAATTATCCATCTTTTAATTATTAACAAGTACTTAATTTTGTGAATTGTTTAGTGTTTAATGAATTAATTTTATTTTAAGCAGTGTTTTTACTTATCGACGAAATATATTTGATTTTTAAAATATATACTTTTCATAGAGAATATGACTGAGAATGTTCTTGACAGATCTCTGTAGAAGAAATTTATAGTAGATTTGTCATATTGTGACATAACTTGTGTGATTGTTATGGTTGTTTGACCAGGACCGCATTATTTTAAAGTTTCGCCTAATTTAGTATTTTTGTAAACTGTCAAAGAACAATTCAAGAACGAATTCGTATAAACTATTTAAAATTAACAATATGCTTCATTTTAAGCAGTTCTGTAAAAAGTTTCCAATACATATTTCTGTAAAATAAAATGGGGAAAACTTATTCATCATTTTTAAACTTTACTTGGAATTTCCTATGTCCAGGTCGGCGATGCAACATACGGTATACTATATACAGGGTGGTCCGAACTGTATTTCAGAAACTTCGGCAGCAGATTTTGCAGATACAAATAAGTAAAAATGTTCGTATAAATATAGGTACGTCCTAAAATGCTTAGTTTCGGAGGTACAGGGTGTAGAAGTTTCAGTTTAATTTCGATTTTTTTTAATAATTTCTGAAGTAACGTTAATATTTGGATGAAAATTGGTATCTGGGAGTTTTTTGATGTGAGAAATTTGATTTTGAAGTCAATATGACTCCTATTTGTAGGGGGCGCCACCTACATATGTTTTAACTGTTTTGAAGAGTAATAACTTTTCGTCCGTACCTGTGTAAAACTACTGAGTGAAAAATATACCTTTCCGTGATTATATATATATATATATATATATATATATATATATATATTATATATATATATATATATATATATATATATATATATATATATATATATATATATATATATATATATATATATATATATATATATATATATATATATATATATATATATATATATATATATATATATATAAACGGGATTTGGTTTAAGTATTTAATACTCATTTCCAACTACAGCCTATTGCTGCCTTCCCGTTACCCTATGCCACACATCTCGATTTAGAGCGTCATCAGCTTCTAGGTTACGAGCTTCCATTGCTTCCGTAACCGTTCCGTTCCAGGAGGTCTACCTCTCTTTCTTCTGCCCTGGGGAGCCCATTGAAAAACTCTCTTTGGCCACCTGTTCTCCGGCATACGCAGAACATGTCCAAACCATTTTAAGCTGGATTTTTCGATTCGATCCAGTACTGTCTCCTCCGATGCATTCATGATACGCCTGACCTCGATGTTTGTTTTTTTTCCATCCTAGATATACCAGCACTTCTTCTAAGGTACTCCATTTCAACAACTTGGATTTTGCGCTTCGCGTCTGCACTCAGAGTCCACAGCTCTGAACCATAGCAAAGAACTGACTCCACCAATGTTCTTCCAAGTCTCTTTTTAGTTGTTGCAGATAAGTTTCGGTCCCACCAGAGGCTGTTAAGACATCCAATAACTTGTTTGCTATTCTGAATTCGGGTTTGTATTTCTTCTTTGCCCAAACCCTCGTTGTTGATAGTAGCACCCAGGTATTTAAATTTGTCTACTTGTTGAATCTGGACGTTATCATTAATGAAGACTTCAAAACAAGCGTTGGAATTGACAGCTAAGTATTCGGTCTTCTTTAGACTAACCTGAAGTCCCCATTTGTTGTATTCTTGATAAAGCCTCTTAGTCATGAACTCTAGATCGTATGAGTCCTGCGCAATCACGACCTGATCGTCTGCAAAGCTCAGGGTAAATAGTGTGTTGTCCCCAATGGGTATTCCCATACCTTGACATTTCGTCTTCCATTCCCTAAGGGCGTTGAAGATCAGAGGAGATAAGCTGCATCCTTGTCGCAACCCTTTTGTGGTGTTAATTGGATTAGATAGCCTGTCTCCTATCTTAACGTACGATTCATTTTCTTTATATAGCTCTTTTATTAACTTAAGCAAAGGTCTATCTACTTCTAAGATATTCAATACTTCCCATATCTTGCTGCGGGGAATAGAGTCGTACGCTTTCTCCAAATCAATAAATGCTAGATGGACTTCTTGATCTACTGCTATCTTTTTTTCCATCACCTGCTGCAGGACAAAAAGACCTTTCAGCAGGACACCTTTCCGTGACTGTTTACGTAAAAAATGTCTCTAGCAAAAATCGCTACGAGCAACCATTCTCAAGATATTTAGAATGGAAATAGTCACCTAAGTCACCCTAGAGTTAGGTTGTTCTATATCCACTTTTGGGGTAAAATGAGTTACATACACCATTTTTTATGCAGAATTAACTTGTTCTATATCCACAAAAACAATATAGCCAAATTCAGAAATAAAGAAAAAAAATCTAATATTTTGTACTATATCCATATTAATTTGAAAGTCGCGAAACCATATAATGGCCTACATCCAAAATTCACTATTTAAGGCTACATCCTACAGTTTGTAATAGAAAAAAAAATAGAATTATTGTGTTTTTTATTATAAGAATAATGTAGCGCAGAAATATTTTCGGAAAAAATATTTAAAAAGTTCAGTACAAGTTCCTTTTCTGACCTGTCCAGCTTGACAGATTTCATTATAATGATAAGTAGCCAGCAATCTTTTATTTTGATATCGATTTTTAATAGCAGTATAAGCAACTGTATAATTGTTTTCAGTGACTGGAAGTCCTTTAATTACAGGTTCTTTACCCAATAACGTTAGTAAATATTGAAACTTTTCTACATTTGACAATTGTGAATTTTCATGTATTAAAGTATTAAAAAGATCAAAAAATCCAGACCAACTTTTGAAATCGCCTTCAAATATAGGAAGAGTAATTTTCGGTAATTTTGCAGTAATTTTAGGAGTGGAAACATTGGTCGAATTATTTGTCAAAGAACTGTCACCTATAATTTGATATTTTATAGCTTTAGATCCGTAGAATGCGTTGTCAGGTGATATACGTAAAGCATCATATTTTTTAAAATCTTCGTCTGATATGAGAGAAATAATTTGATTGTGATAAGTTATAAAATCTTCATACACCTTGTCAATAGTCTCTACTCTAGCTAAAAATATCGATTTTTGAGAGTTGTCAGTAGATATTGCAACACCAATGTCATAAGTTTCTTTTAAACGGTTAAACGCTGTTGTTCGTTTTAAATCATACTTAGAAATTTTATCTGACATAGTGAAAATATTTTAATATTATATCTGATTTTGAATAAATGAAATTATAATATCAAAACTAAAATAATAATAATTGAGTTCAGGTAAAACTGCAAGAATTAATATCAGTAAAAAATATTGTTTATAAGCAAATGTGAAACTATCAAAAAAAATGTACTAAGTACAATTGTGACAGTACAATACGATAGTACAATTCTACGACGCTCAGAATTTACCCGACCAAGTAAATTGGTGCGTATTTGTATCGCTGCGCGCTCGTACAAAAAATGAACCAAAAAACTATATGGCTTGGTATCTGTGGAATGTATGGATTTTAAATCGCAAAATTGAAAACTGATATATTAAAAAGAATTATAAAATAAAATCCGGCTCGAAGGACCAAAAATGTGGAGAAATGCAGTTGTGGACTGTATTAATTTTAAATTTTAGTTTGACTGGTCTTATTTTATCAATGTAAATTACGTTAATAGCTGGGAGAAACCGCACAGAGAAATGAGAAACCTGCTCCTACCTTTAATGGTCGTCTCAGACAGCTTCAGAGGGCCCTCTTCTCGATCTTGATCTTCTCAGCGCTAATTTTCACACATAAACTAACATGAATCGTCTTTGAAGGGATTTAACTTTTAAGTTCAGACTTTCGGCGCGTTTTAGTTAGCTGACCAATTTCGTCGTACGACGGTTTGTAATAGACTATGTGCCACACTTCCTAGTGTTGGGGCATGCGTACGCTAATGTTGCAGGAAGCAGGTATAAGTGCGGCAATTTAAAATTTAAAGAAATTAAAATAATTAATCTTAATCTAAGAAATTACATAAAACAAAATAATTTTATATAAAATATTAAGTTTCCTTAACAGTGGATATGGAACGAAAATACCAGATCAAAAAATATGTTACTATGCATAAAAATTAGATTGTTCTATATCCATTTATTCTCGATCTCTTTCTCTCTAACATACAATGTATGTATCTGTTTTTATTTAAATTTAAGGCTTTTGTTTTAAGCGGGTTAAATTGCACCACTAAACGTTCGTATGACAAATAGGCGGCAAATCGGTTCGTTTGTAAAGCACTGATTGCCTGATTTGTTAGCAAATTCGAATGTTTCACACTTCGGAATTTCGGAAAACCAGCTGCTTCAACTCAATTGACTGCTCAATCGTTCGTTTTAAAAGCACTGATTGCCTGATTTGTTAGCAAATTGGAATGTTTCACACTTTGGAATTTCGTGAAACCAGCTGCTTCAACTCAATTGCCTGCTCAACCGTTCTCTAATACTATCAATACTAGAGATAGCTAAAAAAACATTTAAATAATCCAATGAAAGTTAAAGATCAGATATCTGAGTAAGTTATTCTAACACTATACATACCAAACAAATAAGCGAAAAAAAAATGATAGTTTTTAATAAACAATGCAGACGAATAATTACTACTATTGTATTTTAGGTTTCTATTTTTTTATGTTGTTTTTAGTTAATGTCTTATTGTCTGTCTTCAAATAAATCATATGCTTAAAATGAGTATTATATTATTCTACATCCCCTTATTTTGTTCTATATCCCTAAAATCGGCTCAATGCACAGCTAATAAACACATTTGTTCTATATCCAAATCTAATATCACTAATATTTTTTAACTAAAGCTTCTAAAAGTAAAATAAATACATATGTTTGATAGGTTTTTATATTACCTTTAATTTATATGTTTAATAGAACGTTGTGATGGATATCCAGTTTAAACCTTAAACCTTGTTTTCTCAGTTTCATCGAAATGGGCTATAGAACAATCTTATTCTAGGGTGACCACATGTCATTATTAACAAAAAATAAATATGTTGAGTAGATAGTTATTTGAAATAATAAATTTTATATTTTTTTAAATTAATCATAAATTTTTCTTCAAAAAAATGACGATAAAGAACTTTTGGCACAAAAACATTTCAAATTTATGATTTCAGTCTAATAACTATTTAGTCAACATGTTTAGTTTATGTCAACGATGACAGGTGTTGATAATTTCGATTCCAAATATCTCGAGAACTATTACTCCTAGCGATTTTTACCAAGAGACCTTTTTTACTTAAAAACTATCGTAAATGTATATTTTTTACTCAGTAGTTTTATACAAGTACGAACGAAAAGTTATTACTCTTCAAACCAGTTAAAAATTGTGTAGGTGCTACTTCATAAATTATATGATATAAATGGAAATAAAAATGACAATTCTACACCCTCTATTTCCGAAACTAAGCATTTTAGGATATACATTTATACAAACTTTTTTACTTATTTTTATCTGCAGAATATACTGCCAAAGTTTCCGGAATACAATTTGCACCACCCTGTATACACTTTCTATCACTTACTAGTAATGCTGTTTCATTTGTCATAGGATTAAACGGGCCAATTCTCATTTCTAGAGGTTTTTGCACTCTCGCTAACAAAATTACTAATAACTTTTTAGATTTGATATCGAACAAGTCCCACTCACTCTCAAATATAGCATCGGCAATAGCAATACTCTAAAATTGACAAATTTAAACATTTTTATTGAAATATCTTTCTGAAGAGTTAAATACAATCAAATACGAAAGCAAACTGTAATACCTGGACACTAATTTCATTGGCAGCCCAGGCATAAATAAAAATTTGCATTAGCACAAGCATTATGTACGGACCACCATATGTCACATATAACGAAAACGATGGGGCCTAGAAACGAGTTAAGTTATAGAGTTAAGATGCTGTTAATTTATACTTATAAATAGGTAAGAGATGAGGTTATATTTGCATATTGTGTTGGCAATATACTTATTTCATTTGAAACAGTCGCTGTATGTTTTTAGGAAAATGATTGTACACATTAGATGCATAAATTTTGTTCGAATCTGCAACACAATGTTTTGTATACTAAAAAATGGAATAATTAAATATATTTGACATTTTTTACAATTTAGATCCTTAGCTATGGTAATAGCCTAAGAGCTGACGACATATTTAGAGAACATATTTTAGGCAAGCTAGAATAACTAAAAATGTATAGTTTATTAACTGGTGAACCCAGAATCCTAAGTCTGGCTGGGGGGTTGGGGGTATTTCGCTATTGCGCAACCCATAACATTTGCAAAAAAATAAATCTAAAAAACATTCTTTCGGCAACTTGAAATTTGTTTATTCTTAAATTTTAGCATCTATTTCACCTAGAAATAAGTGTGCCAGACTTTTATTTCGGGGTTAAAGTGTAACCCGACCATTCCAAATATGTTTAATTATTATACCTGGAAAACATACTTTAGGCATTCTAAAATTTTTACAGCGTGTTTATTAGATGATATTAAAAATTATGTGTTAATTGCCAGACGAATTCAATGGGATTTAATACTTGCCAGACGCGAATAAAGATTTTAAATGAGCGCGATAAGAAAGTCTTATGAGTATCTAAAAGCGCGAGAAAGATACTTTATTGAGACCCGTCGGCAGCCGATGCGGCTGACGTAACAACATTTTGGAGTGTTGGAGTAAAAATTAAAAAAAAAAAAACTAACTAATATTGAATAAATAAAAAGAAACATTTTTTAATAAAAATGTATGATTGAAATCCTTTCAATAAGAATACTTTTTAATTTAAGTATTTTGTATCTGAAAGAATAAAAAGACGAATAATTATTTAAAAATTAGCATAATATAAAATATATTTTTTTCAAGCGTCACAAAAGTATAATTATTATTATACTTTTGTGTGACATATTATATTATTATTAATTTTTGCGACCTGATTGACAATATAAAAAAGTCATTTTAACGCCTAAGCATAAAAGTAAAGCACTTACTTTTGAATCTATTTAGAAAGATTAACAATGGTACTTTAATAAAATTCCAAAATACTTATTTTTTTAGCACTGTACATGGTACCCTTTAGTCGGGACTACGTTTTCTGGTAAAACCACTTCTTTAAATTTTAAACCATGTTGTTGGCGCACTTTTAAAAATTCTTTGTATTTTTGTAGTGCCTTCATCAAAAACAATAACTTTGTCACTAGTAACTTTTTTACAAACTACACAACTTAAAGGTTTTTTATCCATTGTGATTTAGTAGTTAGTAGCGAAATTAGTAGTTACTCAAATATTTATTTGCAGTAATTATTCTAAACTATTTACACTATGCACGTCAATATTTAATTTATAAATACATATTTGTACATGGTAACTTAATTCCAACAAAATAATCTCTGAATTAAAAGCCTGCAAATAATTGAAATGAAATCGAAAAAAAATTGTTTTTATGAAAATTTGAAGTACTCCAAAATACTGTTACGTAATGCCGCATCGGCTGCCGACGGGTCTCAATAAACTTTCTCGCGCTTATAGATACTCATAAGACTTTTTTGTCGCGCTCATTTAAAATTTTTATTCGCGTCAGGCAACTATTAAAACCCGTTGAATTCGTCTGGCAATAAACACATATTTTTTAATATCATCTAATAAACACGCTGTAAAAATTTTAGAATGCCTAAAGTATGTTTTCCAGGTATAATAATTAAACATATTTGGAATGGTCGGGTTACGACAACAAAAAAGTCTGGCATACTTATTTCTAGGTTAAATAGATGCTAAAATTTAAGAATAAACAAATTTCAAGTTGCCTAAAGAATGTTTTTTGGATTTATTTTTTTGCAAATGTTATGGGTTGTGCAGTAGAGAAATACCCCCAACCCCCCAGCCAGACTTAGGATTCTGGGTTCACAAGTTATTAAACTTTATTTTTTTTGTTATTCTAACTTGCCTAAAATATGTTCTCTAAATATGTCGCCAGCTCTCCGGCTATAACTGTCCCAATTATCGTCACATTAATGGAATATCTCAGTTAAGTTAGTTATAAAATCCGAATTACATATTAAGATAAGGTTTACAAGAAAATTAAATATGACATTAGTGAACATTTTTATTTAAAATTTCGATAAAACTTTAATATCTTGACTGATAGTTTCGATTATTTTCAAGAAAAACTAAAAAAACTACAATTAATTGTTCTAAATATCGTCACTTCTCTACCTATATCGCCCTTTTGCTGCCAAAAGTCACTAACTAACATTTTTCCGAACAACCAAATTCAATCACTAACTATGTTTTGAAGCGGAGAATCGATTGCAAAAGTCATTAACTACGATTTCTGGCTATTTATGTTTTATTTTAATACCGAATAGTTACTAACTATAACATCTTAATGCAATGCAATTCATCTTTAGACGCATTTTTCTCGGAAGTGAGTGTTAAGTGTGAGTGAAGTTAGTGACTTTTGGCAGCAATGGGACGATATCGTCACCAACTTGTCCCAATGTTCGTCATATCTTTATTTGTCTCATTTCACACAAAACCTATTGTTTTTTACAAAAAATTATTCAGGAATTGCGACAAATTGCATAAAATGAAACATAAACAATAAAATAATTAAAGAAATAAGCATACAAAACAAAATCTTAATTAAAAAAATCACCGATATCAGCTCAAAAATAATGCAGATTACTGAATATAAATTAATAAACATTTTTATAAAAAAGAATAAATAAAAAAAAACAGTAACATCAGATTAGTAAATAAATGTTTCTTCTAACTTTAACTTGAAAAATTAATTTTATTTTGGCATATCAGATATATCATAAACACCTCTTGAAGAATAAGTATCATTTTTAATATAGTCCAAAATATCTTCAGAACTCTGATATTTTGCATTTTTAAAATAATAGGTAACGTTTTCCTTGGGTTTCTTAATTTTTTAAAAAATATCGAAATATGACGATAATTAGAAGTGACGGTTAATTGGGCTTCTACCATGTGTTATTATCTAAGACTCTATGTACAACTTAAAAAAATCTACTTACTCCCTAAATCTATTTAGTGCAATAAAAGTAATATAATAATAGTTTTCCTTTTTGAAAATCATCGATTAAATAAATACCTCATTCATTACAGCAAGTATAGCCGCACATATTAGGGAACCCAGCATACATTCAAATAAAGTTATATTATTAATGTTCTGATTTAGATGAGTTATATATCTGGAAGTTAAAATAATTTTAAATATAAATTTAGTCAAAAAATATACAGGGTGGCCCATCGAAAACGTTCCGCAAGGCATAACGGCCAGGGTATTTTTTTTTCAAAAAATCCAAAAACACGTCAATTTTATTTGTGAGGGGGACAACTTTTGCCCCAAAAATGATTGCAAAATCTTCAACCCTCTAAGCGGGGGTGTCATCCCCCAACTTTTTTCAAATGGGAAGGGGTGTGAAGTGGCGCCGCAATAAAAAGAGCTTTCTATTCTCTATATTTCCCCGCCTCGTTTTTGAAAATCGGTCCAGTCATTGAGAAAATATGAAAGATTGAAATTTGAAAAGTTTATTTAAACATTTATCAGAGTAATTTCTAGATGTTTACGCATTTTTTCACTTGCCACAAGGTTGAACGATCAGGTGCAGTAGTTGCTAGATAGCTGTTCTGTGACTTGTGCGTTGAAGTTCTTCTCAATATCGTTAAACTGACCCACAATAGAATTTCCAAAAATACCAGCCCACACGTTCAATTTCTGAGGGTTTTGTGTGTGCACCTTGTGAAAAACCCTGGGGTTGTTCTCAGCCCAGTACCGACAGTTGTGCCCATTAACTACACAATTCAAAAAGAAAGTAGACTCATCCGAAAAATACACATTAAATAGGAAATTATTATCATTTGCCACTCGTTCACCCATAGTTTCAAAAAATTGCAAGCGACGATCAAAATCGTCTTCGATGAATTCTTGTACCAACTGAATTTTGTACGGGTGGAACTTTGTGGACTTTGTTGAACTCGGGTGTTTTTTTAATCTCCTTTGGACACTTGTCCGATTCACGCCGGTCTTATTGGCTAATTTTCTTGTACTCAGCGTACTATCCATGGCAACTTGGCCCAATATGGAATACCTCCAGAGCTTCATTTACTACAGGATTTTCCCTCTGCCTCTTTTTATTCATAACGGAACCAGTTTCGCAAAATTTTGCTACTAACTCGCGAACAATTTTGCCATAAAGGTGTTTATCAGGATAGCGTTCATTGAATATCTGCGCAAACCGATTGCCGCATTCATTATTTTTAAAATAAAGTTCGATTATTTCCACTTTTTCTGCAAGTGAGCACTATAATTGTTAAAAAGTTTAACGATATTGAGAAGAACTTCAACGCATAAGTCACAGAACAGCTATATAGCAACTACCGTACCTGATCGTTCAACCTTGCGGCAAGTGAAAAAATGCGTAAATATCTAGAAATAATGAGAAAAAACAGCAAATTGGTCGAAGGAAATTATCCTTATCATTTACTCTTATAAATGTTTAAATAAACTTTTCAAATTTCAATCCTTCATATTTTCTCAATGACTCGACCGATTTTCAAAAACGAAGCGGGGAAGTATAGAGAATAGAAAGCCCTTTTTATTGCGCTACCACTTGACCCCCTTCCCATTTGAAAAAAATCGGGGGATGATACCCTCGCTTAGAGGGTTGAAGATTTTGCAATCATTTTTGGGGCAAAAGTTGTCCCCTTCACAAACAAAATTGACGTGTTTTTGAATTTTCTGAAAAAAAAATTACCCTGGCCGTTATGCCTTGCGGAACGTTTTCGATGGGCCACCCTGTACACTCCATTATTCATTAATATTACACAATATACGTATACAAAAGTGTGCTCAGTTCTCCTTTGTGGCTGTGAAAGTGAGCTTGAGAAAATTCTAGAAGCCTTTCAAATAATATACCTCCTGAAAAGTTAGTTATGCAAATTTGTTTTACTAGAGAGTAAAATACCTATATCATCACCAATCTCACCAATAATCCTAAAATAACGGGACAAATATTTCAATCAATTATTAACAACAGAAAACAGAAAGGAATTTTTAGACCAACAAAAACACTCGTCCAGTATCCAATTATTAGCATCTCCAATTAGAATAAAATCCGCTGGACCTGGAAACATACCACCGGAGGTGGCAAAAATACGGCACACAAAAGCTATTTGAGCACCTTAACAAATCTTCTAAAAATGCATAAACGGTATGAAAACACAAGAGGAATGGAAAACATTCTATATGACAACAATTCACAAAAAAGTCAGGAAAGATCAATGGGATAACTATAAGGGTATATCTGTATCCAATACTCACACGAAAAATAGAAGACGTATATAGTAACTTAGAATCAGAAGAACAGACTGGATTTAGGGCAGGAAGATCTACAGCTGATCACCTTTTCAGTATCACACAAATACTGAAAGAAAAACTGAATTCAACCAAGAAATATATATGCTTTTCGTTTATCTTAAAAAAGCATATGATAATATCCCGCAAAATAAGTTGTGGGAAGCATTACAAAATACAAAAATTAACGTAAATTTAACTAGAGCAGTCAAGCAGACAAATATTATGAACAAAATACTACAAAAATTAAACAAGGAAAAATGGAAAATTAAGAAAGAGGTGCCAAGTTATTAAAGGGCTTAAACAAGGATGTGTCCCTCACCGTTACTTTTTAAAATTTATCTTGAACAAGCATTAAAAACATGGAAGCGGATAATATGCAAAAACATGGGGGATGCCAGTAACTGACGATTCCACTCTATATACATTATGCTTGGCAGACGATCAAACAGTGTTAGCTTAAAATTATGAAGATCTACACTATATGTCAAAAAAAAATCATCGAAGAATACAAACATTGGGGTATTGAAGTAAAACTATCTAAAACGGAATACATGTGTGTTGGTGGTACACAAAAGATCTAATACTCGAAGAACAACATCAAATAATAAAACAATATAACAAATATAAATACCTGGGTATGACTATCAAACAGGATGGTACAACGGAGCAAGTAATCCAAGAAAGAAATACTCAAGGACGAAGAGCTATTAGCTTAGTTAATACCATTCTATGGGACCAATCATATCCAAGAATAACAAACAAAATATATATAACAGTTTAACAGTATTATAAAAGCGTTACAACATGTAGCAGTGAAGTGTGGTTTGGTTTGGAACAGAAAAGATGCTGAAAGCAACAGAAATGGACTGACGACGATCAGCCGGGAAATCAAGGATGGAAAAAATTACAATACAAACGCAAGGATCAGGGAAATTATAGGCATTAAACATTCTATAGTGGAAGATATAAAAGTAAATCAACTTAAATGGTACGGGCATGTCCAAAGAATGACCAATAATAGACTGCTAAAACAAATTCTAAATTGGACACCCACTGGTAGATGCAAAAGGGGAAGGCCGAGAAAAAGCTGGAGAGAGGGAATAGATCGCGAAATAAAAGACAGAGGCAACTAGACGAAAACCTCTGGCAAGACAGGCAACAATGGAGACTAGAAATCGGAAGGCGTCGTAGAACGTTATAACGTTCACGTGCACCGTTTTTTGGTGCTACGGTGGATCAAAACAGTGGCGTTTACAATAAATAACTTTTTCATTTTGTAGGTTTTCTTCTAGGTGCCCGGTGGCATAGAGGTACAGGCTCTCGTCTACCAATCTCAAGGTAGTGGGTTCGAATCCCACACCCGGTATTTCATCAGCCGACTATTTTCATTAAAATAAAAATAGTTTGGGTACCTAGGTCGACTCAGCCTTAAATAAGTACTTGGGATTCACAATCTTGAGGTAATAATAGGCGGTTGAAGCGTAGTGCTAGCCACATTACCTTCCTTGTACACCGAACGGCTCTAGTATGGCAAGCTGTACCTTGCTACTCCCAAGACGTCAAACGCTATACAGACCGGACCACCGTAGTAGTAGTATAGGCAGAACCGGAATAAAAATAGGTAGATATGTGATAAGAATGTTTCAGAATTTGTATTTATTCGTGTTTTAATATCCAAAACGAATACATTATACATACAGATTCTCGCGACAGTTCTCGTGTAAAATTTATTTTTTTAAGTAAAAGAATGGATGTTTACGAAGTTCGTGTGAAAATTCAAATTGTAAAATGGTATTTCCAAAATAGGTCTTATCGGGATATACAAACAATGTTTCCACAAACTTTTGTAGACAGGCCAATTCCATCTTTACCTACTGTATCAAGAGTTATTAATAATTTTGAAACACATGGGTGCGTGTTCCCACAAAAAAACAAAAAGCCTGATGTGTTGATTAATGAAGAACAGGAGTTAAAGCAAGTATTCATTTGTGCTACCGCGGATCAAAATCCCGTCTTCAAGTAATCAAATTGCTGAGGTGGTTGTCCTGCCCACAAGGCCCGTATTGTTCACCAATATTTGAACAATACTTCTCCCAACCGTTTAATTAGTGGATATGGAACTATTTTGTGGCCCGCTAGATCACCAAATCTTTCTCCCAATGACTTATTTTTGAGGGGTTATGTAGGGTTATGTAAAATCCAAAGTGTATGGTCATATTAGGGCTAATAATCTGGATGAGCTTCAAGTAAAAATACGAGAGGCTTTCCAAACTATTAGCCTTAAGGTCGATTTATAGATTGAAAACGGTGCGGTTCGACGTTGCGGTTGCGATTATTTCTATTGGCTATTACCAACATTTCAAGGTCAACGTTCCTGTCGAAGTTAAAAGTTGGTTAACTTTTGACATAAAACGTCAACCGCAACAACAACCGGCAAATTTATAATCAACAAAACATCTTGCGTATAAACGAACTTTTTACCGACCGTAACGTCGGGCGTCGAACCGCAACGTTTTCAATCTATAAATCGACCTTAAATATGTTAGCCAATGTCAGACGGGGATTTTACGACCGCCTAGGCTTCTGTCTAGCACAAGAAGATGGTCTTTTTGAACACGTGTTATAACTTTTTTTTATTTAGAATAATATTTTAGTTTTTTTTGGGGGTTTAGAAAATTTATTTATTTTTAGTTTTGGCTTGTAAACACACTCAAATAATAAATATTTAAGTATTTTTATTTTAAATGTTACCTTAAGTGAAGGTACACACTTGAAAATAATAAATACTCGGCACTCCTCGAGTCGTATTCCTAGTCTGTCATGACCGACCCGTCCAAGCACAACTGCAACTGCGTACTGCCTGATCAGCCAACTAGCCAGTGTTGCCAGATGGAAAAAATAAAAAGTGGTATCGAGTATTTAAAAAAATGGTATTTCACTGAAAAAAAATGGTATTTTTACTTTTAAAGAGGATCTTAATAGGTATTACCTCTTAATATTTTTATAATTTTGATACTATGATTAACCGTGGATTAACCCCAAAAACCAAACGAGCCTCCAATTTGGTTTGAAAACATCGTAGCTGTTGGTTGTTACCTGGTTGTCACATCAGTTTTGAACTCTTGCGCAAGGCTACCTCTACACTCCATACGCAAGGAATTTGATTTTTTTTTAACATTTTATTTAAGCAAAATAACAATAAAAGACATTTTAAATAGGTATAATTAATATAATAATAAGGTAATAGGAACATTTTAAATAGATAGGTAACATAAAATATATTATTAATAATTCAACATTAATAATCTACATATTTGGCTCTGAAAATATAAGTAAAACCATAGACTTAGAATAAAATAGGTAAAACTTTTCAAGAAATAATACCTATAAAAAAACAACAAATTTAACATTTACATATTCTAACATGGAAAATGAAAACTTATACATTAAAAAAATCACACCAAATAAAGGAATCAAATGGTGATTTAAAAAACAACATAAAATATTTCTACCTAGGTATAATAAATTTGTAACAATAGAGATCGATATTATAGGATTTTACCTAACTACCTAATTAGCCGATGAGCAATCAGCAGATATATTCGTCAAATTTATTGCATCTGCTGATTTTTTATACATATCACTATTCATTCGAGAGAACATTTTTTTTGTTGGCTCAAAACTAATACAGGACTTTCTAGTAGCCTGAGAAGAAAGCAATAACGCATCCACTGTATCACATTCTAGCTTGTTGCGTATATCAGTTTTTATGAGATTACACTTCGAAAATAGTCTTTCACATTCCGCATTTGAATGTGGATAGCACAATACATCAAGTGCGAAATTAGCTATATTCTGAAATGGTTTTTCCCCTGACAAATATTCTAAAATACGCAGTTCCGCCCAAAATTTATCTATTTCAACGCTAACTAGAGAATCAATAATTTCAGGGTTGCTTTTGATAATAAATAAGCTTCGCCACTCATCATCAAGTGTTTGAAGTGGATATTTTTTTGAAACCCTTGGGATTGCTTTAGCTAATTCAATTATAGATGATGGCTTTACTTTATTTTTTGGATCCAAAATACCAATTAATTTTAAGATAGAATCTTTAAAATCAAATCGCTTTAAAATTTCGAAAGCGCAAGTTTTGAGAAACCTTTGACACCTCATTAGAAAATCTTTCTTTTCGTCTACGTTTAATTTATTAATTAGGTCAAGAACCCCTACACCTAGATATAAATTATCAAGCGTTATAAATTTGTTTTCATTTTCTGGATTTATGAGAGAAATTTCCGTTTGATTCACATAATTAGGATCCATATAACACATTAATAAATCTTTATATGTAGAACACATTTTAGGGTAGACATCAAAAATTACCACCTTATCGCTCTGAAAATATTCATTAAGCTGAACTACCTTTGGAAGGACCCAATTTAAAAAATTAAAATATGTTTTATTAAGAGGATTTTTTAAAGCATATAAAATATTTTGTGATGATAACATCCTATCTTCCAAAGCACTTCTTGTAAAATACAATTCTAATGCTGACCACTGCTCTAAAATTCTTTTTACAACACTTAATAGTGACAGCCATCTCGTTTGTGATGCTTTTAGAATTTTATGCGGTTCGACTTCACAAAAGTGCTGAAACTCCTTAAGCTCAGTTTGGCGTTTGGCGCTATTTTTAAAAAAATTATAAATATCTCTGGACATATCCTCGCATATTCTTGGCAGTACTTTACAGGCCTGACTTACCACTAAATGTAAAGAATGACAAATACATTTATTTATTACTATCCCTTCCAAATTTTCTCGAAGGCGTGAAGCGACTGAATTGTGTGCTCCCATCATTGTATTACAACCATCAGACGCAAAGCCAATAATGTTTTCAAGGGGAACATTATGAGACGTAAAGGTACTTGTAAGCATTTTATAAATATTTTCAGCTGTGGCGCCAGTCTTGCCAGTAGCCTCATCAAAAACATTTATTAACTTAAAAAACTGGGAAATTATTTGTTTCCTATCTTCATCAAAAAATCTTACTATAATGCATAAAGTGCTGACAGTACCAATATCTGTGGTTTCATCTATAAGAACGCTAAACCTACGTTTACAAAGCTTTTGAGCCAACGTTTCTCTTTCACATGGCGCGATTACATTTTTTACTATGCTAGTTATCTTGGTTCTTCCTAATGTAAGATTTTTTACAATGTTTGAATCAGGTAAACCACGTTTTAAAATACCTGCCAAATGATCGGATGCCAGGAAAGGTATATTATGTTCCGAAAAGAATCCTGCTAACAGTAATTCAAGATTTTTGGTCTGCTCAACGACGACGTGGTCAGTTTTTGGTGCTAAGAACTGGGAAAGTACTTTGCTTGAACCTTGGTTTAGTTTTGTACTGTTGTTCTGGTGCTTAATTCTCGATTGGTGAGTTTTCAAAACAGAAATGTCACACTTTAAATGAGCGTCGCAACATTTACATTTTGACATACATGGGTTTCCTACAAAAAAAACTACTTAAAATACTTGTAAGGTATTTTATTACTTCTACCCTACCTTTTACTGCAGTTATCCAAGGAAATTGTTTTTCCCATTCTTTTCGGTACTTTTGTTCAACTTTTTTTTTCTTGGCGGCAGGATTCTTATTTTTTCGTTTCTCCTCATCTGTATCGACTGTATCGTATGAAGATGAAGACTTTTCACTTTCATCATTGCTCATTTTGGTATTCATAAAAAATTAGAATAGAAGCCCGGGTCCCGGGTCCAAAATCAAATACAATCAAATTTAATTGTAAACACAATTAGAAATAAAATAATCCAATAACCATATCCAATGGAAACGGCGAATCACCGGCGAATATAAAGTCCCTAGATATCTAGGGACTTTAGGCGAATACGGCGAACAGCGCTGCAAGCAACAACAAAACAACTATGCTTTCTCTTCGTCTTACGAATCACTTAATATTCGAATTAGAAAGAAACAGTAATACATGACTACGATGCCCATGATGGACGAGAACGATCGGCTACGGCTACGGTGCTACGGTGACGTAGCCTAATAGAGATAGAGATGTGCTTTATATTTTTAGTAGATGTGGAAAACTAGATTGGTTTGCATTAAAAAGTTTAAAAAATGTAGATCGCTGGGATTCTAAAAAAATGGTAGAAAAATGGTAACGTCTTCAAAAAATGGTAGAAAAATGGAAAATGGTATACTCAAAATTTTTGCAGGTATCAAGGAAGAAAAAATGGTATAGATACCATTTAAATGGTATATCTGGCAACACTGCAACTAGCCGGCAGTGACTCTCGAGAACGAACGCAAAACGGGTAAACGTAAATTCGTCCTATGTTACTAGTAGCCTAGCTATTATTATTATTAGATTTTCTTCTAGTGGCAAAAAATCCAGAATTACTTTCAAGAAATGAACCCGCCACACAGGTATAGATATTATTTATACTATTTTGTGTTATTAAGCATGCTGACTTGATTCCGCATAAACCTATTTTCAAAAACTTTCTAATATTTTATTTTCTACTTATAGCTAACATTTCTCCATCCATCGCAGATACGTAGTGATAGCAAAACTAAAATAATTATATTAAGTGGCGTACCTAATTAAGTTCTGATGCATTTTAATATGCGTCTTAAGTGCAGCATATATATCACCATTATAAAGTTCTTTAGCAGTTTGATGAATTCTTTTTAAACGGATCTGAAATATTTTCAACTGTGTTGATCCATATATCATAACAGTAATCGGAGTAAAGTACGATGTACAGTTTGATGCAATAATATAGATAACAAAATAACAATTTAATATGTATACTATAACCTAAAAAAAATGTTTTTTTAATAAGTACCGTATGATCGATGAGAATGATGTCACAATGGCCTGAAATGACAGTTGATAATTTCTGGTGAAGCTATCTATATCTGTACCCCAGAAGTAACAAAAAAAAAATTGAGAAACGAAGGAATTTTAAGTTTTTTTTTGAAGTTATTTTCTAATTACTCGGATATTTTTATACTTATGATTGTAATATTTGGTTGTATGAACAACTTGTTTTGAACTTAAATGCGATAAAAAAAGTAAAACAGTTTTTTTTAAATAAATTACCAATACAATTAAAAATACCAACATTTTTTGGGTGACTTAATTTGTATATTAAAAAAATAAACATTACTTAATTTATATTACGCTTAAGCTTAACTAATTATAATATTATGTCTCTATTTATGCCGAAATGAAAATAAAACAGATTAACTAAATCTCTAGACAATAATGAAAACTTTCCTCCGAGGTTTGTACTATTTTATTTACAACCACATCGTTAATTAAGAAATAGGGACAGTATTTTGAAAAAAAAAAAAAAAATATGCGAAAATTTGTCGTTTTCTGTTTTGGCATTTCCATATCTAAAGTTACCGGTACCAGTGGTTGTTATGGCGCAAATCTTCAACAACAAAACAAACAACTAAGTGACAGTTTTGAATTTCTCGTTCGCTTTTTCGAATTTATATAACATAGAAAGCCAGAATGTTGTCGGAAATATATAGGGATAATGAAGACTACTTTAATATTGGTACTCCACCGGAATTTACAGAAGCTGCAAAAAGAGCAGAAGCCAGTTTACTTCCAGAGAAAAGTAGAGGGCGATATGAAATAGCATTGAAAGTATACAACAAATGGTGTGCCAAAAGAAATGCTAAGAATATTGCTTCGGAGACAGTCTTGATGGCATATTTTAGAGACATGGCAAGGCAGAAAAAGCCATCTACTCTTTGGGCTACGTACAGCATGATACGGACAATGCTAGAATTAAGGGAAAAGACTGACATATCAAAATATCACAAACTCGTCCTTTTTTAAAACGCCAGAATGTAGGTTTTAAGCCAAAGAAGTCTAGTATTTTTACCTTCAAAAAATAAATGCATTAAAATCTTCAATTATTATTGTTAATAGGTTGATTCTCACTATACCTTCCATATCAGCTCCCTTCCGTTTCCCTTCCGTTTCCCTTCCGTTTACATAAAATAATATATCATGTAAATGAATAGGACAATGCGCACTATCCGTTCCGTTTCCCTTCCGTTCCATATCCTTTCCTTCCATACATTTTTTGGCGGACGGACTGAAGCGTATTGGAAACAGCGTCGTCGAGTTCTTAGATTTGTACCAGCTCTGTTAAAATTTTGCTGATATGTATTTATGCTTCCGCCTCTTAATTAAATCTATTGTTTTTTTTTCAAAAGATAGAAATTTATAAAATAAAAATTTCGTAATGATATAAATTGTACAATAACAAGTATGGAACTCTGATACGGAACGGAAGCTTACATATAGCGTCAAAATAATAAAATACGGCACGGATATGGAGTGGAAACGGAAGGTATAGTGAGAATTAACCCTTGTTTATTTTTGTTGATGTTAGATAAGTATACAGACCGGACCACCGTAGTAGTAACATAGGCAGAACCGGACGAATTAGCGTATACCCGTCCGCCGGATAAAAAGCAAGCGAAAAAATGCGATAAAATGAAAATAGGTAGATATGTCATAAGAATGTTCAGAATTTGTATTTATTCGTGTTTTAATAGCCAAAACGAATACATAGATTCTCGCGACAGCTCTCGTGTAAAATTTATTTTTTAAGTAAAATAATGGATGTTTACGAAGTTCGTGAGAAAATTCAAATTGTAAAATGGTATTTCCAAAATAGGTCTTATCGGGATATACAAACAATTTTTCCACAAACTTTTATAAACAGGCCAATTCCATCTTTACCTACTATATCAAGAGTTATTAATAATTTTGAAACACATGGGTGCTTGTCCCCACAAAAACACAAAATGCCTGATGTGTTGATTAATGAAGAACAGGAGTTAAAGCAAGTGTTCATTTGTGCTACCGCGGATCAAAATCCCACGTTTTCAAGTAATCAAATTGCTGAGGTAACAGATTCTTCACCTAGCACGGTTAAGAGAGTCCTTAAAAAGAATGGATACCGATCTTATAAAGGGCGCAAAACTCAAGAAATTTTCCATGAAGACCAATTTCGGCGTATGACGTTTTGTGAATCTGTAATGGAAAAGGCCAATTTAGATGAAATCTCTATTCGGCGTATAGTTTTCACCGACGAATCAAGTTTTCATTTATTGAGTCGTCATAACCCTACACAAGTGCGATATTTGTCTCGGGAAAATTTGCACAGATATTTTGAGGTACGCACGCAATATCCTCAAAAGCTAAATGTTTTGGGTGGTTTTGTAGGGGAGCATATGATTGGTCCATTTTTTATAGGGGGTAATTTAACTGTTGCAAAGTATTCGTGCCTAGAATTCGTGAGTTATTGGGAGAAAGATTCCACAATGTCTGGTTTCAACAAGATGGTTGCCCTGCCCACAATGCCCGTATTGTTCAAGAAAATTTGAACAATACTTTTCCCAACCGTTTAATTAGTGGATATGGAACTATTTTGTGGCCCACTAGATCACCAGATCTTTCTCTCAATGATTTCTTTTTGTGGGGTTATGTAAAATCCAAAGTGTATGGTCATAATAGGGCTAATAATCTGGATGAGTTTCAAGTAAAAATACGCGAGGCTTTCCAAACTATTAGCCTTAATATGTTAGCCAATGTCAGACGGGTATTTTACGACCGCCTAGGCTTCTGCCTAGCACAAGAAGGTGGTCTTTTTGAACACTTGTTATAACTTTTTTTATTTAGAGTAATATTTTAGTTTTTTTTATTTTATTGATGTATTTTTTAATTTTGGAAATGACTTTTGGGTTTAGAGAATTTATTTATTTTTAGTTTTGGCTTGTAAACATACTCAAATAATATTTTAAATGTTACCTTAAGTGAAGGTAAACACTTAAAATGAAAATAATGAATACTCGGCACTCCTCGCGTCGTATTCCTAGTCTGTCACGACCGACCCGTCCAAGCACAACTGCAACTGCGTACTGCCTAACCAGTCGACTAGCCGGCAGTGAATCTCAAGTACGAACGCAATCGGGTAAGCGTCAATTCGTCCGGCAAGTTGCTATGTTACTAGTAGCCTGGTCTTCTCTGTATAATAAAGATATTACAAGAATATTTTGGTTAATTAAATGAGGCGAGAAATAAGAAAAACCGAGTGAGGGAAATGGAAGAGGGAAGAAATGTAGATAATTTGACACTTTCAAATTTTTTAAAAGTCAGTCATGTCAGTAGTGGTTGTAAATATAATTAAATATAATTACTGATATAATAAGAAAACATTTAACAGAAAAGTTGTAGGTTGCAATTTGGAACCAATTTACTATTTTTATTAACCTTTCGGCGGTCGCACTTTTTTTTTACACGAAAGGTCGCGCGCGGACTCCGCTTGCTAAATTCGAGAGATCTTAAACGTTGCTAGTGGTGTAAAGACATAAAATAATATGATAATCAAAATAAAAACTATTTAATGACTTGCTTCATTACAAGTAGCAGATATAAACATATAATATATAACATAAAACACGCAAAATACAAACTAACAACAGATTACAGAATATTTGTATGTGCTCAAAACATTGGGACACTGTACACAAGAGTAACGAGTTGGTCTGTTTTTCCGCCATCATCACATTTCTGTAGTGCCGATCTTCTGGTAATACTGTATTCAGTGCGTCAGAATCTCAAATTTGTTATTCTGTATCAGAATTTATTTCTGGCCCTTGCCTTTCTA